TGATAAGTTTTAGCTTTGTTAAAACGCCCATAATAAAAGTTTGACTTTGATCAACCCTTATTATGAGCTGATACACGCTATGGAATGTAAAAATTTTAACCGTCGCTTATAAATATTATTGGTATTATTTGAAGGGAGATAAGAGCGGCATCTCCGAATGCGGATAAACAGCAAGGAAATCATGAAGGTTTAAGGGGCGTTCCTGATAAACGGCCCAAGTAATCTAGCAAAACTAAATGGTTTACAAGACTCAGAATCGCATATTCGTTAGCTGAGCCGATCTCTTCTGTGGTAGTGATGTAAAGTAGTCTTATCATGTGAGTTTCAACGAAATTAATGCCATAATACCAAATCAGATTTCCCAAACCGTGGTTTCTCTTTTGTCGTACGAGAAGAATATGGTTTATTCACGGTCCAGAGCTGTCCTTTGTGTGAAACATTTTGACTCTTCCAACTGAAAATGTTTTCCAGCACACCACTTCATGTACCGCTAATCGGGCATTAGACGCAGTTGTGACGGAATAGTGGAAGTACAAACCGATTTTTAACATGGTATAAGTAGCATAGCAAAAAGATGTGTGGAAGATTGAAAACGAAATGAACAATACACGGATTTGTTGGCACTGAATCTGAAAGGATGCACTTGTTACTTCATATTAAAATTTGTAATTTTTACGCATTCTTTAAAATAAACTTAAGTTCATGTAGATTCCTATTTGAGTGGTTATTTCAGCCCTTGTTTACATTATTAAATTTGGTGTTCATATATTCACGCCAATAGTGAAAATGAAATGGCAGGGTGTCACAATTGTTTCGTGAAAGGCTTATTTATTGGCATGGGGAGCTGTGAATTGAATGTCTGTATGATCTCTCACTCCGCAAGACCCCATCGGTCTTTGAATGGCTTTCACTCAATATCTAATTATCATTCTCTTCGCATTAGAAGACCCGGAGTGGGGATAGCTTGCATTTACGATGCATGCCCATAGGAATAGAAGAAACGATTCCCCTTAATAATCCGCTTTGTAAAGGAAACGCGTTTTGCTCGTTCCAACACCTGTAAATGAGCTTTGAGTAACAAAAGCTTTGTTAGAGTACAGAAAACGGTGCACCTGAAGTCCATGGGAGTAAGAGGAAATTGTAGTTCAAGTATGAATATCTGCAAGTCGGAAGTCTTCAACCTCCAAAGTAAAGTAGAATTAGTCTAACCTCTCTGATTCTATAAATATTTGCTTCGCTGACTAGCACAATCGGCATATTATCCAAGATTTATTTGTAGGATGATTCAAGTCACTCATGTCTTTTGTGTTCATGTAAGCACGTAGTAGCCTGCATGAATAGTGTTGTGAAGGTGTTCTTTTGAGAAATAACACATGAACATCCTAAAATGCACCTTTATTAACCAGAAGATTTGCAACACATTAAATAGACTTACTCGAAAAAATGCGCGGAGACTAAATTTGAGGCCTACAATTTCTTCACATTGGAAATATCGGTCTGAATTGTACTTGCGTTTAACTGCACCACTTGAGTAGTGATGCACACCACACTAACGCTTGAGTTTTTCTACGATTTTGTTCCGCAGCAGAAAATGTCAATATTATTAACTCCCAATCAGCAATCATCAATGACTGCGATTTAAAACGTACGGTGCATAATAACTGTGAAAACGGTAAACTCCATGGGCACGAGGATTTTCGGACCACTAATGAGAGCGGTCAATCCAAACCGTGCGAAATGAGGTCGTGAACGGCTCGGATTTGATATATTTTCATGGAGTGTAAAGGAAACACACCTGTTCGTCACCATACATTTTATTTTTTGGTTTTAGTGATGGTGAAAGTGCTCTAACGCCGAAATTTAACCCGGTGGAGACTACTGACTGGGGCTTAAATTACTGAAACACCACTATCCATGGTGGTTACTGCAGTACAACTTGAGTAACATTTAAGTACGATAGACATACCGATACCTAAGATACAAGTTCGATTGCTCACACTCTTAAGTTGGATTAAATCTGGTTTACGGATCAGGGTTAAATAAAGACCTCCGTCGAATTGTATTTTTCATTTCTCAATCTCTACCTGTGGTTTACCTTTTCTCGATGATTGTTTTCCAGGAATAGGAAGGGATTTCCTTGGTTCAAAAGGAGCAGTTTATCATGGAATT